GTCCGAGAGCTTGCGAAAAAAACGGGTACCGCGAACTATTGTCAAGATGGTTTTTTCCTTTTTTTTTTGGGCACTTTCGATCCCACTCCTTCCCAATTGGGGCAGCGACGGTGGCTCACAGCTTGGGGGTCCCAGCTTGGGGGTCCCACATGAAGATTTCAAACAGATGGGCGGTGGCACTCAGATAAAGTGCTTCTTTTATGTCATGGTTATACGTGTACATGAGGTGGTAAATACCCCCATGGTGGTAGGTAGGGATTGACTTCTCTGGCTATTAAAATATACCCAATAAAAACCAAGAATCAGCACAGAGAATTGCTCACACAATAGATTAGAAGCGATTTATTTCTATTTGAAATCAAGTCTAGGACGAAAAATTTAGAAGAATTGTCCCAGTTTTGGACTGAGGAAAAATTACACAATTGTGAACCTTAGTACGTGTAAATGGTGTTGACAATAGACTGGATCGAATACAAAGTAATGAATAAGCTTATGTTGTGATCACCTATGTTCATGCTCCTCACTTAGTTTGTGTGCATGCATACTGAATCCCACTACAGCCAGAAGCCAGTAAAATGGCTCTTGACTCGGACAGGTGGACCCTAAAGTAATCGATTGACATCATGCTCAGATATAGTTGTTTGCCCCTAATTTCCATACCATTTAGTATTAAAACACTCCAATTCCCTTTTACTAACTTGCACATGATAAACCTATTTTCTGCCAAATTTTTGCCCATCTTTCTCAAGTACCCCCAAAGTAACAGAAAGAAGTTTGAAGTGAAGAAAACATTTTAGAGGGGATTTTTTTCCAGTTTTACCGGTTTTTCCCTGACATTTCTCAACTTCTTAATAGTGAGGAATATCATGAATGCTCTAATGAGAAAGTATCATGCAAGAAGGAAACTGTATGAATGAGAGCAGGAAGTGTTTGTTTGTGCCTTTTAGTCGGGTAATTTGACATCACTGTATGTATTTGTACAATGCAGTAAAAGTTACCTCGTACCAAAACGCACTTGTATCCAGGTATGTGTGCGTGTGTGTGTACAATGACCAAAATCCCGTACATCTCATTTTTGACTGCTGTCGGACATGTTGGACTCAGTACGGAAATTTGAATCCGCATGAAAAACGAACCGCATTTCAGACAAATGACTCTGGATCTTGAAGAAATAAACTGACGGATGCAAACAATTCATCAGTCTTCCAGACAGCATCACCGATGACCTGAAGGGAATTCAACAAAAGTGTGAAAATTGGGTACAGTAGGAACATTCAAAGTTCGTGACAACCTTAGACAAACCTTAGTTCACAAACCTTGACAAAACCTAGACTTGACTAAGTCTGACCACTACATTTATATGGCCGGAGGCAATTTGTGCTATCCCTGGGGGTAAAAAGGGGTTTGACACCTAGAGCTTGCCTCCAGTTGTATTTGGTTGTTGTTTGTTTTTCTCTATTTAAATTTTTGGATTGTGGGGATTTCATTATTGGTGGAGTGCAGTATGTTGAGTGTCCGGCCATCGGTGATTTGGCGTAGCACCAATGAGGCCCCGGTTTAGTGATCCTCAACAGTAGCTGGACGCTATGGCAACCTTGTATCCTACACCAGCACTGCTGATTATTCATTTAGGCACAAACAAGCTGGTGCACTGTGATGCACTCTGTATTCAGCAATGTGTAGTGCTTCATTAATAGCTGAGTGTTGAGCCCGTTTCCCAGATGCAGCAGTAGTATGGTTGGATATTTTGTCCTTGATTTTATTACTATTGGGCTTGGTCACAAGGGAGCATGGAGAGGCAGAGGGGGGCTATAAATAACAAATGGTGGTGGTCATATAGTAGGTAGGTTGGAGTGTCTGTTTTGCATCACCCGCAGTTTCAGTGGACCAGTGCCTGTCTGTTCTGTCAAGGTGGGGTGCATTACTGGACCGAGCCCAGTCTAATGTGGCTTTTGCGAACCCGTGAACGGGTTCGCATTCAAGACCTCCCCACCTAGTTTATGGCCTTTCTAGTGGTAAACGACCCACGATATAATGGCTTCAATCAGTACACGTCCATGTGTGTCCACTTTTAGGTCTGATTTACGGCGGTGTGGTTTGTCTGCAGTAGGCACTGTGTGTGTGGTTGCAGCGCGGCCTGGCTGCAGGCAGGAAAGTGTGGTAGTGAACTTATGTGTGAGTGATCAACGTACATGTACATGTATGTACAGCAACTAAATGTACACTGTACATGTAGCTTCACCTTGACGTCCTGTACATACTTACATATGTACATGTACAAGCACATGTACTGTACATGTACCTGTACATGTGGGTACTTGTCATTGTGTGACCACTTGCGTGAAATTCCGCAATAATTTATCGCCAATATACAGCGCAATTTGGATGGCACCATTTGAGTGTGGGAAACTACCTACTAAGGGCTAATTTTTGGGAGTGTGTTTGTTCTTTCTTCGATTGATCCCTTGATCCTGCATCCCACCTTTCGAGAGCAGTTATTTTCTTGGGGCGCACTTTGGGCATGTGGCATTTGTAGGCAGGAAAGAGACAGCAAATTAAGCATTTTATTTTGTCTCAACTTGAGCAGTTATTAATAGTGAGGCAATCAGTTGCAAGCTAAGAATGAACACCCTCAAATAAGCAAAGTAAGGGGAACAGGATTCACAACCTTGTATGTTCCAACAGGGTGAAGCATTGAATAAATAATATATAGACAACATGGTTAATCAACAACAGCAAATAAAGAATTGATACTCTGATTTATTAAATGCAGGAATTACAGCCTGCTGTGTACTAGCAGGGGTAAAATTCATTATCATTAATTTTGGTAGATTAGAGCATTTTTAATTAGTCGATGATGGGCGTGATCAATCCAAATTGCAAGGTATGTCTTGTTGCATGTTGTTTCTGTCACAAGCTGAGGTAACCTTTATTATTAGTGGGTAGCGGAAGATGCAAGAACATGGCTAGGTAGCTGTGATCAGGTGATCCAGTAAAAGGTGCTGTATCAGGTGGCACAGGAATTGAAGACAGCTAAGTTGCCATTTGGAGTGATCAGGTGATTCAGTATGTGTCAGGTGGCACAATCATGCATCCCTTGTCTTGTGTGTATTAGTGTGCATTCTCTGCAAGTCAGTGGCCCCATGTTTCAACAGCCAACTCCTTGCCTTTAAAGCTATTTGATAATAAGAAGTGTAATAAGGCAACTTGTGTCTTGAGTTTATTATAAAGAGTAAGAAACTAGAAGTGGCAGAAGTTCAGAGAATTGCCCAATCAAGAGTTCTTTGTGTTCATCCATATTTAATTTTGGAGATATGTACCTGTATGTTGAAACAACATTAAGTACATGTAGCTGACGTTGGATACAAATTTAACCCTCCTTTAGTTTTACAGCAAAATATGCACAAGTGCCCAAGGTCAATCTTTTTCATGTTGGTGCATTGCACAACATGACACAGCTGGGCTTCTTTGAGGTGTTTACCAAGTGACCCAAAGAGTGACTTCAGCATAGGAGGGTTAATGTAGGTGGTTAATATTGTTACACAGTTTCCAAAGTAATTAAATATTTGTGCCAAAATCTGCACATCAACACAGTATTAGCGAATTATCGTGGGTAAACATTGATTTGGGTCGGTAATATTGTGACCCAACGTGACCGCACTTTGAGCATTCTTAAAACATGATTTACGGTGAGTTAAAATCTACGACACAAAAGTGAAGTTCAAATAATGTTGAATTATGGCATGTCATTTTCAACCCAAATTTAACAATGAAATTACTTGTGCCCATATTAATTGGTTTTTATGTCTATATTTTGTGCTGTGTTTGACTTTAAAACAAGGTGATGAATGCTGTTCTTGAGGAAGACATTTCTGATGGTGGAAGTCATCATCAAAGTAATCCATCCAACATATTCTTCAGTGATGGCTACACAAGGCTCAATTCTGATCTTTCAGTCTTAAGAGGTAAAACAGTATGATATTTGGTACTGATTTTTATTGTGTTCTTTTCACCACATTGAGGGGACAATCACCATTACCATTCCCTCTTTGCACGCTGCTGCCAAAGGCATGCAGAGCCTCCATCTGGCAGCTTTACACACTAAATATAGCTGGTTCAGTGATTCATATGTATTTTCCTTAGCAATGTTGCACGTCCTGCATTAGTTCTTTCACCATGCGATGAGACAATATTTCAAAAAGATGAGTTGACGCGATCCTGACGTGATTGTACAAGATGCCTATGGCGGCAGTATGCAAAGAGCGAATTAGACGTGTTTGTTGACACTAGTGCTACAGCCGAACCACCAAACCGAACTAAAAATCATCGAACATGGCACTTTCAAATCGAATCAAACTGAATTGAACCAAGCTGGCCAGTAATGTTTGGCTTTAATATGGCATTGTATTGAAAGTGCACAGAATGCACAAAAGAAAGCTTGCTAAAAGAGCACACGAACAAAAACTGGAAAGGAGTTTCGTTCACTGCATACACTATGCCGCGAGTGCGCTTGGAACCTAATAATATGTTTAGTATAATGTAAATATACGTTGTAAACTTACGCTGGCCTCACATCACGCGATAGTAAAAAAGGCATGTGGTGAGAATTCACTAATATATCAACTGAGAACATGCATGAGACAGCATTTCTGCTGCATGACAATGCTAAATTCTCAATACATCCATAGGTCTAACGCCAGTGATGCCATATAGATCCCTTATGAAGGACTGAACCAGAAGTAATGGAATCTATAACTTCTCAAAAAAGATTTTGTCACTAGCCAATTCCTTAAACAACTGGAGGATGAAACAAAGCAGATTGATACAACACAGAAACTTTCATTCTGTCAAGCTTCTATGTCAAGAGAGGAGTTAAAGCTGCAGGCAGCCACAATTTTCTCCTGTACTGTACCCTGTGTGAGCCAACCCTTCTCTGCCTTTCAAGGTCTCTATAAGTAAACCAAGACAAGGATGAACCAACCTCAGATTCCTTTTAACATCCGGCTGTAGCCACTAGTGATGAGGTGTAGCCAGTGAAGCCCCAATCTCCAGGGGGGGATCGTCTGTGACCATTTTGATTCTCCAGTGGCCCTACATTACAAATTCATTGGCAGGCGCTCACTGGATTTCACAGGGTTGTGGGGAGAGATCACTCCGAATGGGTGCTTACAAATCTCTGAAACATTACAAGCTCAAGTTCACAAGCGCCCCTCCATCAAACACTTCACTGAAGCCAACTCTAATTCCTTATAAATCCAAATGACAAACCTTGAGACTCCAAGATAGAGGCTCTACTGATGGCCAGCCTATAGACTTGGTCCCCTTAGACCACTACAACTACATCTCCTCTCCTACTTCAAGCCCAATTAGGACTCCATCGATTTCAAGGTACCTGTTCCCCCATCAATCAATCCATCCATTCATACCTACCTACCAACCAGCTCGCCAGACATCATCTTGATGTAGGTCCTCCTATTTCAAGACCAGAATCCGAGGTCAAAATCTCCATTGATGCATCAAGCTTGGTGGGAAGCCTCTCTTTCCCCATTCCAAGCATTGGTTGAGTGAGACCTCAACACAAGGGAACATATATCAACGTTCTTGAGCCATAGGCAATCTTCGAGGCCCTACGTCTTGTTCAGATGCCCATGGATGGCAAATGTGTGATGGTCCAGCCAGACAACAAAACAGCAGCCGCATACATTAACCGCAAAGGTGACACACAGTCGCTACAGTTGTGCACACTGACGTGGCAACTATTCCACTGGACAATGGAGCACACAACTGTACTATGGGCCAGACACAGTGCAGGCACCAACAATACACTGGCAGATGCACAGTCACGGGTTACAGTCCAACCCCCCAAAACATTAATTTTCTCACAAAGAACCGGACTCCCATGTTCCATCTGATGGACATTTTATCCCAAACATATCAGCACACTCCGGGATACCCTCCGACAAACTCTGGTGTCCAGTGCAGTACTGACCAAAAATCTCAATGGGTTAACATCCCATCTGTTTGTAACATCGACTCACTTGCATCATCCAACAACCAGAGACACCATGGCCTGCTTAGTAGTTTCAACCATCAAATTTGCCAACACAGACTGGCCAAGTCCTCTGAACAGTCAAAGTCATATCAGAGCACTTGATATCAGGGCAGTTTCCACATCACGAGCCAACTTTCAGTGGGTACCACCGGCAAACATTTGCTGGGTGGCCAACTTTAAATCACCCTGTACGTTTACATCCTGCTATCTTGGTGATGTTTTACAATAAGACTATGCCCATGGCAAGGCATTATTAAAGTTAATTAAAGTATTAAAGTTGCACGCAGTAGACTCCTCCGCAAGTGTTTGGTTTGAGTCTTCTAGAGAATACCTACCCAAATGACCTGTTTCCCTCCAATCCTTTTGGGTGTGTTCGAGCGAGCTACTCATGTTAACACAAGTATACTTCTGAGCACTCAAACTGCTGGAGTACAACTCACAGGTCAGCAAGAGTATACTCTAGCTAGAGGGGGAGTGTACTCCTGCACTCGAGTGTAATGTGCATGCATCCGACTCATGTTAACAGGAGTAACTGCTTGAAGATATCCTTTGGCTCTGATACTGGAGCATTTCCAAACACAATATGGCTGCCACGCCAAAGTGCATCATGCAGGGGTCAAAATTAATGGCATCCACTGGCCCAAGGCCAGTAGAAATGGCAGCAGACCAGCTGATCTAAGAAACCTTGTGGTCCGATGGGCCAGTACAAAATGTAGTTAACAAATTTGATAAAAATTGAAGGACTGAAAAAAAAAAATCTCTGTACAGATTACCCAAATTAGTAGTGTGGTGGATCCGGTTATATTTTTGTGTGCTGCGTGTATCTAGCTTATGCAACATAAGATCGATCCAAATCGTAGTTTTGCCACTCTGCGCTGGGCTAACCTAGAGTATTTTCAAAACGAACGCATTCAGTTTAGACTTTGGTTTTGCTGGTTTCAGTTAGAGCTTGAACATGTGGTTTTGAAGGCTGTTCCAAAATGGCTGGAACCAGTGAAACTAAAGTCTTAAGCCATTTCGAAAACGCTCTGTGACTTTAATTTCACTGGTCACAGCCATTTTGAAAGCAGCATTTGAAAACACATGTTCCAGACCCAGAAACCAGCGAAATAGAAGTCTAAGCCTAATCCACTTGTGTTGTAAACGTTCCTAGTCTTGACTGCAAGAGGTTATCCGGTATATTAACATGTCGGCTTCCAAACAAGGATTGCTCAATGCGGCTGTGTGTGCGATTCTGGTAGGACCATCCAACTTTCAGCAGGACCAGTGAAAATTTTAAAGTATTGGTCCTGCTTGTTAATTTCGATCCCTGTTACGGTAAAGATGGATGTGGGCAAGTGTGGTAGTCAAGACCAGGCAGTCTAAGACCAAGACCGAGACCAACAGACCGAGACCAAGGCCAGGCCAGAAAAAGTAACCAGAGACCAAGACCAAGACCACCTGTCCAAGACCAAGACTGAGACCAGGCAGACCAAGACTGAGACCAACAGACCGAGACCAAGGCGGCTAGAAAAAGTAACCGAAGACCAAGACGAAGACCAGCCATCCGAGACCAAGACCAAGACTACATTTGTAAATTAATGAAGACCTCATAATCCTCAGCAGGAAACCTGACCTAAATAAACACAAAAGAGCCATTGAATGACCAGGTAGTAGGCCTACCAAGTATAATCATATTCAGCACCTTCAATTTTGTAAAGAACAACAATTTTAGGTTTGCCACAGTGAATAAAAAGCTAGACCAAATAGGATTTTTGGCCCACGGTCTATTTGTAGCCTACCTTAAATGCGTTGACATTTGCAACGTTGTCCGTACCAATGTGTTCTACTTTATATAAAAGGTTTTGCCCTTACCCAGCCTACAATATTGATAAACATTGTATGCTCAGTGCTTGTCCGAGAGCTTGTGAAAAATTCACAAGCTTACTCGCCTGGGACTCAAACCCATGACCTCCTGCTTACTTGTGCAGACGTCTTAACCAGTCGACCATCGAGCTTGCCGGGGTCGGCTGGTCGGTCCAAGTCAGGTGAAGCAGCAGGTACCATGAACTATTTTCAAGATGTATTATTTTTTTGTTTTCAAGATGTACATTGTTCTTGATATTGAATTCTTCAAGAACATCATAGAATTGCTGGGGAGTTTTTTCTCCAGTATGTAATTCTTTGAAGCTCTGGCATGTAAGCAGTATGGAGAGAAGCCCTCTATTACCTGACATGGGATTTTCTGCAATGAGGTGTGCGGTTACCCCCATGAAAGACCACACCTTGCGATCTGACCATACATCGGTGGTTAGGGCAACAGAGTCCTGACCATTGAAGAGGTCTCTGAGGACGGTCTGTCCAGCCTCAAAAAGGTGTGGTATCTGTTTCCTTGACAGTGTCGATAGAGCTATTGGTTAATATCTGAAGCGAAAGAGGTATGTGTTTGAAACAATCGACTATTAGCATGGTTCCTGTGGACACAGAACCAAATGCAAATACATGTATGAAGTATATGTACATGTAGGCCTGTTAATGGAATACAGGTTTAAGCTTTGGTATATAAGAGTAGTGCTTTAAGCTTTGATTAATCCAAAATGATAGACACGCTTGCAATGCAACTTGACACTCTCCTTTTAACAATGATCAGATGAGGCTCTTTATGAGTGGATCAATCAATCAGTTCTGTTGAAAATAAAAAGGAAATTTTATCTTGGCTTCAACTCTGCAAAAAGCGCTGAAATGTGGATTCACTACAGTGCCAAGTGGCATTGAACATCCAACAATAAGATGCCTCACCATGGCATCTGCAATGGCTTTCTGTCTAGGATGGGTAACACTGAATTGATGCACAGTCTCTTCTAATCCTCTTTAGGAAGAAGCACCAGCACCTGCTACCACCAAACTTGTTAGCTGCAGTTGACATCTGTCCTG